TCTCCCATGTCCCCCCGGAACTGTCAGTCCCGTTGTTTTCTCCTCCAGATTGTTCATCCAGCCTGTCCTATCCAGACAGGCCTGGAATAAATTTTTTAGAAAAGAAAAAAAAGTATTCCTATTTTTATCTTGGGGAGGGGCTGCCTGACTGGGGGGGCCGACGCCCTTTTCATTTATCACGGGGCTCAGAGACTCGCGGCGGACCCTCTATCCTGTGCAGTCTTTAAGAAGAAAAAAAAAAAAGGCAGGGTGGCCAAAACTGAAATTGCTTTTGATTTCAGATCTCATTCTCTAAGGGTTCATGTTTTTTTAATATATGTGTCAACCATTCCAACTGGTTCCCCCTTCCTCTCCGCACCCTCATGGTATCGATACTCCATTACTGTTCCTGAGGGATTAAATCTGTCCTGGATTCTATGTGTCGAGAGCTCTTGTCTGTACGTGTATATACTCCAGTCTAGCTGGATTTGTAAAGTAGAGCAGGGGTCATGACAGTGTGGGGAGGAAGCATTAAAGAACTAGAGGAATGTTGTGTATTTCGTAGGTGCTATGCTGCACCCTGGCTGGCTCATCCCTTCCTTGTGACCCTTCTGTGAGGGGATGTCCAACATTGATCTTTTATGAAAGAAAAATAAAACACATACATAGAAATCAGAGACAATATGCCTATATATGTATATATGCTTATATATATATACACGTGTGCACAACACACATGATGGAAATTTCTGGAATAACACCCAAGAAACGGATAAATGGTTTCCTCTGGAATTAGGGATTTGGTTGCAGGAGGGCTTTCAGATTCTCTTAACCCCCTTCTAGACTTGTTATTTTTATGTGAACTCACGTGGGAAATCTGCAGCTGAAGCTATATAAAGTGAAATACACTCTGCCTTTAGGAGGCCATGGGGTGAGTTTCCCGATGGGGGTGGGGTGAGCAGGAGACAGTGTGGGGCAGTGGTGCAGGGTGGCCGCCAGGCACTTACTGGTGTTGTGGTCAATGAAGTAGTCCCCAACCTGTGGGTCATAGGCTTCTTCCCATCCCAGCGGCAGCTCGTCGCTGATGCAGTCGGCAAAGGTGAGCGGTTTGGTATACCTGACAAAGGAGAGAGACAGACTCCATCAGCCCACAGCCCCCAAGCCTGAGCAAGATCCACCGCTGCTCTCTCCCCTCCCCCACCTTGCTCCCCCGCCCCCCCCCCCAGCCGTCCCACCATCCCTGGGTAAGTGGGCATGCAGCAGCAACAGAAAAGGTGCCCCCAGGAGGGAAGCAGGGAATCTGGGTGCCAGGCCCAACTCTTCCACAGACCTGACAGTGACCCAGCAGACTGCTCTCCTCGGGGTCTGCAACCTTGAGCCAGGGCTTGACTCCAGCCGCCCCACCCCCCCACCCCCATGACCCCACGACCCTGACTGTCCCCTGTGTGTCGTACCCATGTCCCTTCTGGAAAGCTAGCTAACTGTCACGTCTAGAATAACAGATGTCCCAGCCTGTGAATTTGGCCAATAAGCAATATTTATTTGCCTCCCACGCTGGTTCCCAAATGTTTGTGCCCACAGCTGTTATCCCATAAACAAGCTGAGCCAACCTGGCCTCTTAGTAGTAAACACCTCCTAGGGTTTCAATAAAGAGCCCTGGCGGTGTCGTGGACTGCAGTACGCAAGGTCAACAGTTTGAAACCACCAGCTTTTCCGTGGGAGAAAGACAGGGCTTTCTACTCCTGCAAACAGTCTTGGGAGCTCACAGGGGCAGCCCTCCCTGCTGTCCTAGATGAGCCAGCATGGATTCGATGGCAGGGAGCTTGGCTTTGGAGGGTTTTACCACCTCCGCCCCCACCTAGGAGGCAGTGAAATCATGGTTATCCCGCAGCCCTAGTGGCTCAATCAACCAACACCGGCCAAATATGTAAACCATCTCATGAGACTCGAGACGGCTTATCAGGATGGGGGAACTGTGCCACAGCGCTATGCCGAGTATTTTAGCTTGAATAAGGGGAGTCAGAAGAGCCCGAATGGCACAGTGGTTAAAACGTTCTGTTGCCAACCCAAAGGTGGGAGGTTTGAACCCACCAGCCGCTCCGTGGCGGTCCACACCCTAGAGATACATAGGCTTGGAAACCCCGGGCAGTGGTCTGCGGTACCCTACAGCATCGTTCTGGTATGAGGAGTCAGGGCTCTAGGTACTGAGCGTCTGCCCAGTGGACACCCAGAAAACCACTGTGCTTCCTCCCATTGCTCCCTCCGCCAGACAGGCACACGCCGATATTCGCTCTCTCCTCTCCGCTGTGGCCCTGCTGTTTGAGTCAGCTCTGATTCATGCCGGCCTTGTGGACAGCAGGAGGGCGGAAACAAGGCCTGGTTCTGCCCCATCTTCAGGGTCATTGGTAGGTTTATGTCTGTCTCTGTTCCCCATGCCCTCCACCCAAATCTGGAAGCCCAGGTGGGCTCTGCTTTGCCGCCTTTTATACAGATTGGCCAAGAATCCTTGCGGCACGGCAGGGTAAGCATCTGGGCTGCCAGCTGGGAGGTGGCTGTTTCAGATTTATGAGCCACTTTGTAGGGAACAATGAGGCTGTCTGCTGCCTTAGTGATTTAGAGCCTCAGTTCTGCTGGGTCCTCTGGGGTCACTATGAATCAGCATGGACTCGATGGAAGGGGGGGTTTGGTTTGGTTTTATACAGAAGGGCAAACTGAGGCACACTGGCTCAGGAAGAGAGGCGACCAGAATGAAGGCCTGGAAGGCCTCACAGGGAACTTCCTCATAAGGCATAGGAACCTGACCTCGTTGACAACCTCCTTCCCTCTTGGATCCATCCCAAATCCAACTTCTAAAAACTTACACAAGGAAAAAAAAGACGATATTCTGCAAGGGAGCCTGGTGGGAGGGTCCCGGTGGGTCTTGGGGACCACTGCCCTTTCAGCCTGGTGGCTGCTCAGAACATCTGCTGGCTGAATGGCTGGGTAACCCCTAAATGACTGTTGTGCTGGGGGACATCATTTCCTGGACAGCGCTACATTTAAGCAAAGGAGGACTCCATTAACATCACTGCTCCGAGCCTCAGCGCAGCTGTAAAACGGCACAGCGATAACTCTCAGGCTGCAGGCTCGGTTCAAACGGATCACGATGAGAAGGCCATTCAACACAGATCCTGGGGTGAAGGATCTTATATTGTTTCCACTCCCCAGAATGGGACACGGAGGCTAAGAAACACTAAACAGCACACCCAAATGCCTTCTAGGTAGAAAGTCATAAACTGGAATTATCCTCTAGAACATCTGCAGGGGGCTACTAGTTCCTCTTGAAATGTTACATCTTCAACACATCTCCTGAGCCCTTAAACTCACAGCCACGAAGTCGATTCTGACTCCTGTTGACTCTCCAGGGCAGGATAGAATTGTCCCTGTGGGGTTCTGAGACTGTAACGCTTTACAGTAGTAGAAAGCCTCATCTTTCTCCCTCTGGGTGGCTTGTGGTTTTGAACTACTGACCTTGTAATTAGCTCCCCAACTTGAAACCTGCTACCAGGACTCCTTAGAAACCCAAAACTGAATCAAACCCACTACTATAGAGTTGATTCCAAATTCTAGTAACATGAGACTGTAAATTTCTTATTCTCCCACAGTGTTGCTGGTGTGGGTTTGAACTGCCGACCTTGTAGAGAGCAGCTCAATGCCTAACCTGGAGCACTACTGGGGCCTCCTTAGAAGATCATCCCAAACCACAATCTTAGACTAACAGGAGGGAAACGCGGTGCACTGGGGCCTTTGTTGGTACCGCTGAGAATGTGCTTCAGTCAACAGTACCTGTAGCAGGCAGCCTCACAGTCAGTCCCACCACTACCACAGCTCACCCAGCCTTCAGAAACAAAAGACCACCTCCCTCAAGGCTTCTCTTCCTCAAACTTCTATCCAATGTTCACTCCCTCTCCCTTGCGGAGAGCTAAGACCAGGGACCAGGAGCAAACTCTTGTTCACCGTAATGTTCCCAGCAAATCTTTGACAGGGTCACTGTGGATAAACACTCTCTACACGAGCACCCGTCGGGGGTGATTTCGTTGCTCATGAATGACTGATGACTGGCACCTCTATGACAGAACACGGCGCTCAGGCCAGCTCAGAGAGACTCTCTTTCTAGCCCATTCTTCTCCCTTCCCTAGGGCTGGATGCAGAGATGCCCCGCTTACGACAATTCTCCTAATGTGCATACCGATCATTAGCTCCCCAAATCCCTCCCTGTGGATTAATTCCATCATGCTAAACAGTGGTGCTTCCAAGCAATGGAGTCTTATGCTTGGCACAACTGGAGCTCATTACACATTTGTGTAATGGGTTGATTCAAAAATGAAGATGTAGGAAGGTTCAATGCTGATGTATCTGTTCAGAGAAGGGGAAATCGGGGAATGATTAACAGTGATGGCTAAACAACACGGTGAACATACATGTTGCTGAGCTGTAGGCAGAAGGCAGTAGGAGTGGCAGACTCTGTTACCCATGTACTTGGCACAGCAAACAGGAAGCAAGAGATGTCTAGGTCCATCCTCCATCCTTAAAACGCATATCTACTTCTGGAGGCGACCGATGTTTCAGGTAGGATATGGTACGGAACCTTGATTTCAAGAGTAGTCTGTACCCCTTACATGTCTATCCCCTTTAAGGTGTTTGGATTTGGCTTTATTTGGAAAAAAAAAAAAAACACAACAAAAACAAGTAAGCAAATGTTACATGGCTTTAAGACATAAGTCTGTCGAGTTCTACATTTTGCTTCCATGGATGGATATACTCAGTATACCATGAGAAAGATGCATTGTTGGGGGAGAAAAGCTACAAGTTGTCCTTGTTATATATATTGTACTTAATAGGGGTATGTGTGTATAGAAAAGCAACTGGAAAGATATACATTGAAATGTTATCTGGGCAAAGGGATTTTAATATGATTTAAATTATTGTGATAGGTAGGATTATTGTGCCAACCTGGCCAATAAACACATGTGGGGTTAATAAGGTTGCAGTTTAATTGCAGGGCAAAGAGATAAATGGCTCCACGAGCCTCACCTTTTCGTCTCTTGCTCTCTAATGATCAGACCAGTGTGTAGCTGCCTTAGTTGGTTCTCTGCCTCAACTCACGAGCTAGACTACTTGTGGGACACCCAACCCGTGGACTGTGACACTATAGTTTGAGCTTCCTTCAAGCCCTGCTTCACCACACTGCTGGTGTCTACATCACCTGAGCTGGGGACTGGCAGACCCTGTCATCTGGCTGACTGTTGGTGACCAGCCCTGCTGTTTGCTGCCTGTGGCCGGACTGCCTGTATTGCTCTACAGAATACTCAGCTGTCTGCTTCCTTAACTTGCACCCAAGAGGCCTCATGAGTTGAAGGACTGCCAGTGTATTAACTGTCTCACAGAAGTGAGTTGAACTGAGCTCTGTGGACTAATTAGCTGTTTATTTCTTATGTTGTATCTATCTATCTAGCTATCAAATCATAAGTGTCTTGGTTTTGTTTCTCTAGAGAACCCCGTCTAACACAATTATTTTTCCCTTTTAAAATATAGGGGGTGGGTCGCCACATATTTATTGTAATTAAAAGACACCACATTTGCTAAATCTATGTCCCACCGTTAAGTGGTGTGTTGGCCACATGGTGGTGGTACGCATGTTGCTGCGACGTTGGCAGTGAGCCACCAATATTCTGGCTGCTATGGCAGATAACAGTCTGCAGTGTGCAGGTGATGCAATCTTACAGACTGAAGCGCAAAGACCACAGTCTTCAGTGTGAATTGTGCCACACAGCGTAGAACAGCAGATCTCAACCTGTGGGTTGCGACCCCTATGGGGGTCGAATGACCCTTTCACAAGGGTCCCCCGATTCATAACAGTAGTAAAATTACAGTGATGAAGTAGCAACAAAAATAATTTTATGGTTGGGGGTCACCACAACATGAGGAACTGCATTAAAGTTGTAGCATTAGGAAGGTCGAGAACCACTTGTGTGGAACACCAAACTCCTCACTACTGACTCAGGAGGCAACACCATGGTAAATGGAGAAAGACTGACATTGCTATGGTTTAATTTTACTGGTATCCACAATCAAGGC